GCATAATTCAAAACTACATTAATCAAATACAAGTTGTGGCTCTGTCTGACTGCATAATTCAATACTACATTAATCAAATACAAGTTGTGGCTCTGTCTGACTGTAGAACTGCATAATTTAATACTACATTAATCAAATACAAGTTGTGTCTCTGTCTGACTGTAAAACTGCACAATTCAAAACTACATTAATCAAATACGAGATGTGGCTCTGTCTGAGTATGGAACTGCGTTAACAAAATATAAGTTATGACTCTGTCTGACTGTAGAATTGCATAACTCAAAACTACATTAATCAGGTACGAGCTGTGGCTCTGTCTGAGTATGAAACTGCGTTAACAAAATACAAGTTGTGACTCTGTCTGACTATGGAATTGCATTAATCAACTGTTTTCATTTTTCCGGCTACTATACATCTCAACACGTAGTATTAGATATATTGCACATCGTGAATTTTCTACGCTCTGAAACTCAACGTTTCTCTTGTGTTCATTATGCGTTTACATTCAAGTACGATTAGGCTTAACGTTTAATGTTTACACTGACTGAGACCAGATAAGGGAAGATCATTTCAGATTTAAATATTAACCCTCAAAACATTCAAAGGACTTTTACGTTACTAATGGAAAGTTTTCGTTATATTTAACTCTTAAATCTTTTTTCTTGTCATCTCCGATATTTTTGCGCATACATTTTTTTTTATTATGTTCTTTGGTATTAATGTTATGAATATTTGTGTAAGTCGTTTTTGCAGCAAATAACATATAAACATATAAAGTTATATTTTATTTAAGCTCTACTAAGGCTAACTCTCTATTAATAATATTAATAATTTACCTTATTTCAGTTCTTCTAACGCTAATGCTATATTGATAATAATTTACTTTATTTCAGTTCTTCTAACGCTAGTGCTATATCAATAATGATTTATCTTATTTCAGCTCTATTAATCGTAATCTTCCTTATTTCAGCAGAGCTAATACTAATGCTCTATTAACAATGATTTTGTAGATCAAGACTTTATTTCTCGTGTGGCTACCTAAGATCCTCAGGATGAGGCGTTACGGTAAGTACGAAGAAGAAGAAGGAAAGAAAAGTCATATAAATAACAAAATGAAGGAACTTGAGCTCAACGAAAGGTGTTCGCGAAGCCTACTCGCGAATGTTCTAGACATCGACGACGACTTCAGACTTCAAAATAGCACCAGCGGATATCTACACGTGTCATCCAGTGAAGAGACATCGACAGTACACACCTGCATCAGTGCACAACGAGAACTTAACTCAATTTTGAAGGAATTACGGTTTATAACGAATCGAATGAAAGAGGAGGACGAAGCTAACGACATCGTCGCCGAGTGGAAGTTTGCGGCGATGGTTGTGGACCGTATATGTTTGATATTGTTCTCTGTATTCGCAATCATATCAACTTGTGTCTGCCTTTTACAAGCGCCTCATCTTGTGGCTTAATACAGGTGAATTCGTTATACAATGAAATTGATGCTACGATGTTTACAGGTACTTGAACTTCTTGGCTCTTATGGTAAGATGTGGAAAACAATACTCTTTGATAACGCTAGAATACAGTCGTAAAGTTTAGATAAATTAGTTTAATTCAGGATATTTTACAATAATACTAATTCCTATAGTATATCCTTAATTACGTGATATTATTTAGCTCAAGATGATAAATTTTCACAAGCTGAAACCAGCATACGCGTTAATAATTCATTCGTGCTTTACTTCGAACTTCGCGTTCACTGCTGTTGTGACAAGCTCTTATCTAGGGGTAATAGCAATAAGTTACGTAATTCCATATTATAATGCCTTTTAAGCTCTCGATGTTAAAAGTTATTATCTGCAAACTGTCAGATTAGAATAGAAAAAGACTTTGAAAATGTACCAAATGTTTGTTGATTCGGTAATGATGAAACCTGATATCTTTGGTAATTAATTTTGGTTGTTGACCTAGCTGTGTATTATAAGTTTTCATTCCGTAATGTAAACATTATAGATCAATCATAGATCAAATACGTTCTTCTGAAAGAATTGATACAATATCAAACATTTTTTGATCCAAAAACGTCTTCTAAATATTAACAACTTCCGCTTAACAATCTTTTTAAATCATTTAGAAACGTTTTACTTTCTTCTCGTGTATAAAATAGCGTCTGTTTTATATATCTGAGAGACGTTTAGTAAAACAAACAGTAAAAGAAAAATATAATTCATTACAACCTTAGCCTTCAAGTTTGAAAATTCATCGATATATATGTACATGATTTCTGTTTTCTGTACAAGATTCAGGATGAGCTTGATCAAACGATCAAGCTCTATAATCATTTTAATCACTCTATTCAATCTTTTCGTGTGTGTGTAACTAAGATTGTACATAAATATTGTGTTACTCAGGTAGACCATATACTGATTCATCTTTCTTTTGCGCCTGCGCGTGTTTCTCTCCTTTTCTTACACAAATGCTGTATAAAGGAAAGTTAATCTCAAATATTCTCTTTTGCAAATGAAAATCGATATTTGCCCGAAAAATATCATGTTCTGGAAGAAAAAAAAAGTTAATTCTCTCGAACCGTCTTTACTTCCATTTCAGTTGAATAATAACTTCTGATTCTGCATTCATGTTAAGACTGATCTTAGGCTGAATGTATCGGACTTTTGACCTAAATCCCCCGAGTTTCCTTTTCCTAACAGTAGGCCCGGCATGGCCAGGTAGTTAAAGCACTCGACTTGCAATCTGAGGGTCGCGGGTTTGAAT